ATATGTATTATATATGTATATGTATATTTATTATATATATATATATATATATATTGTGTACTATGCTCTAATATCAACCAGTCTACTTGTATCATCAGAGGATGCTTGGTACTTACTTCTAACTTGCATATCATATGGTTATACACTCAGTTGACACACCAGCTGAACTCTATAGAGGAGATTGTATCGACCATGTCCGACATCTCTTTCAACGGCATGGCGGAGATCGACGCAGATGGCATTCTGCTGGCCATGAATCCAAGATTGGAGAAGGTAGTTACAATTAATCTATCAGTACACACAGTACGCCTGCACGTGTACGCCACGAACACATCCCTCACCATGTCCGGTGTTATATATAGACACGTACGTCCATTTCTACACCACTTGGGTTCGTATGTGTACATGTACAGATATAATCATGTCTAACGTACTGGTTCTCTGACATACTGGCTGGTGCACTAATTGATGGGTAACTAGGTTTGCATATACTTTTGCTGTCCTATATGATTTGACTAGGTTTGCATATACTTTTGCTGTCCTATATGATTTAACTAGGTTTGCATATACTTTTGCTGTCCTATATGATTTAACTAGGTTTGCATATACTTTGCTGTCCTATATGATTTGAGTACCCTCATTGTAAGGGGACTGTGTGGTGTCCGTTGATGTGGCGACGGTTCGAATGAGAGCTCTTGCGCAAGCGTCTAAGCGAACTTTCATTTTATTGTATTTGTTGATTGGGTTGGTCGTATACCCAGCCCGTTGATACTTGATGATTGAAACGCGGGTTTGTGCACATCTGCAGTACAATCAGTACAATAACACACTCGTTATTGCTGTTAAAGTAGTGGTGGTATGATGGACAACCGCTTTTGTGAGTTTGTGCTTACAGCAGCAGCGCTTGTGTGCTTGATACAAACACTCCCACGGGTTGGTATGATCATGTTATATATACAATCGAACAAACAGACATGATTAGACACGTACATTCATACTCACACACAATTACACCCGCAACCACATACACATAAACACACACACACGCACATAAACACACACACACACACACACACACACACACACACATGAACACACACACACACACACATGAACACACACAACACACACACACACACACACACACACACACACACACACACACACACACA